GAAGTAAAACCCCTTTCCAGGCTTCTGCCTATGGCTCACCGTCCTTCTCTTCTGGCAGTTAGGAATACCTGGGTGTCAGGACCGGAAGGCAGTGTATGTGGGGAGCCTGGAGGAGGAAGCCTTTTTCTGTGGTTCAGAGACACGCAAAGGGCTAGGCAGTCTGGGCAAAGAGGAAAGGCTCTGGGACCTGGCCAGCCTGCAAGAAGGTCTAAGAGGCCTGGCTGAACCTCTCCCCTGCTCTAACTCTATCTCTGAGAACAGGGAGGCCCGGGTCAGCAGTTAGGAACTTGTCAAGATTAGCTAAAACCAGTCAAAACCAAGATGGCTGTCTAAATGACCTCCGCAAGATGTTAAAGCTCATTATAACATAATCTCCATGCTAAATAACACACCTACCAGCTCCATGACAGTTGACAATCACATGAATACAGCTGGAAGAGATCATAAATGAACAAAAAGAGGGTGGAACTCTGATCGGAGAAAGTTGCTGCCCCGTTCCCTGGAAAATCCATAAATATTCTTCCTACCTATTTACCTAAATTTCCCCTTCATTTCTACCATCTTGTTTAGACCACTTCTCAGCCACTAAGGGAGAAGTTAACTTGAGAGCTATGCTCCATTCTCTGGCCATAGAATAAAAGCGTGCTCTGCTAACATCAACTTTTGGTCTAGTAATGAGCTTTGCGACAGGGAACAGGAAAAGAACTTAGCTTGGGGTCCTCAAAAAGGAGACTTTTGCCCTTGGTAACACTTTCACTCTGCAGGCTCAGCCCCACGTGCGTTTGCAGCCCTAGAAGCACTTCAGAGTGACCATTTGGGCTTCCAGTTATCCATTGGTTGTTCAGGGAGGTGGAGCTCTCTGTACTGAGAGAGGGTATGTTGCCGGCAAGAGCCCTGGGGTCCCAGGGCTGCCCAACATGCACATGGCCTCCCTTTTTCACAAGCCAATCAGTATGCCGGAAATGCTGCTGTTAGAACCACTGCGTACAGGAAGAATGCCATGTGAGGATGGAGGCGGAGATCGGAGTGATGCTTCTATAAGCCGAGGATGGCCAAAGATTGCCAACAGACCACCAGAAGCCAGGTGAGAGACCTGGAGGTTCTCTCTCACGGCCCTCAGAAGGAACCAACCTTACTGGAATGATCTTGGACTTCCAGCCTCCAGGACTGTGAGACAATAAATTTCTGTTGTTTAAGCCACTCATTTGTGGTACTTTGTTATGGCAACTCTAGGAAACCAGTACACCGGTCAATACTTCTCTGCAGAGATAATTCAATATTCTGACCTCTGTTACCACAGGCTAGTTTTGCTTGTTCTTGGGTTTCATAGAAATGGAATCATACAGTCTATGTCATTTGTGCCTGGTTTCTTTGGTTCTACATACGTTTTGAGATGCATCTGTATCATCGTATGCATCATTACTTCATTACTTCATTCTCCTTTCTATTGCTGTGTAGTGTTTCATTGTGTACATATTATACAATTTGTTTATTCATTTTGCTGTTAATGGACATTTGTGTTGTTCCCAGTTAGGGGTTAATGCTTGGTTCCCTCCAGGGGCAGATACAGTTGCCATCCTTGGCGGGGCTGGCTCCCTAGAGGAGCGTCAGTGGTGGTGTTACATTGGCTGGGACAGTCAGGGACAGGTAACTATTTTCAGAGTTCTCTGTTTTTCCTCCCTAGTTACTAAGCAACCAACTAGAGTTTAAATGCTCAAAATAGAGGAAGCAGGCTAGGAGCCTGGCATAAATACGCAGAGGGGTTTAAATTCAATTATCCCATGGGGGTGTGGTCAGCTGAGACCTCTGGGACCACAAGGACCACCCATGAGGAGTGAGTAAGCTGTGGGCTGGGGGACAGTGAGGCAGTGCGAGGAGGCACCTGCTCTGCTCCCTGACTGGGGTGGCCTGGCCTGCACCAGTCACCTGTATACCCTCCACGAGTCCCCGGGATAGGGTTTGATGGAGAAACGAGAACAGATTATGTTGCTAGCTCATGCTGGGGCCTTGAGCCAGGCACTGTCCCTCTTAGGGCCTCAGTTGCCCCCTGTATATGGCACATGTCTATTGCCAGTTCGGCAGGTTAGTGGGTGCAATGGAGGCAATATCAACACACTGGCGAGCTATGAGGAGTTGTACCAGGTGAAGAATTAGCACCATTGTGGCAGTGGGTCATTTCCATGGCGCCAGAGCCCACAGTGCTGAGCAAGCATCCATCTCGATATCTTCCAGAATGCCCTCAGAGGCCAGCAGAGACCAGGAGGGGTGGACATGGGAGGTGGCTTTCTTGCTGCCCTCCGGCAGAAGAGGCCACCTTGTATGAGTGGCTGTTTTCTCCCTTCCCCTGAGGCCTTGCCCTTTCCTGAGACACTCAGAGGACTGCCACGTTGCCCACAGCTCCCTCAGCCGCTCCCAGGCCAGCCGCGATGTTCACAGTGTCCCACATGCAGTGGTTCCCTCCCACTGACCTCTGTCCAAAAAAGCTCCCCTTTCTAATAGGCCTGGAGTGCTTTGCCCCCACTTGACTGGCAGGGGAGAAGAGGGACATGGCTGATACTCTGGACACAGCACTCAGGGTCCCTAAGGATGGGGCCATAGAGATTGGCTGAGCTGAAACCTAGGAGGGAACCCACCACTTATCAGGGGGCCTCTTCTAGCAGGGGTCCCAGGCTGGCGTTTCTCAACCTCTCAGCTGTGGGATTGCACTTCTGCAATAGAAAATTACACTTCCACTTTCTTTCCTCAAGGAAGAAAGAAAAAAGCAACAAAACCGATGAGCATTCTGACACATCACATCCTTGACTGCCATTCCCGGACGTGCCCCAGCCCAGACCCACTTCCTCCTGAGAACTCAACAGCAGCGCCAGAGCCAGATGTGTCCCTGGCAATAAGGTAAGTGGAGATCAGAGGGACTCGAATCCACAGTGAGGTGAGGAGGCCTGGTGGTGCTGGAAGCAGAGCCCCACTGGCTTCTTGCCAGGCACACACCCCAGAGTGTCTTCCTCCTGTTTACCCAGAGGTGCATTGGCAGGGCTGGGTTTCTGCTTCCCCAGAACATCTGGGGCCCTGGAGACACTAGACATGTCCGCTGTGGTGGGGGTTTCTGTCAGCTCTGAGTGCTCGGTGGAGCAAAGAGTAGGGTCACATGAGCAGTGGCAAACTCTTCCTGGGGGTTTGGGATTGGTTCCTAGGAGTGAACTCTGAGTTTCTGGCCAGGCCTGAGGACTTAGATGCCCACCCCAGCTGTCCTGGGCTCAGCTTATAACACACACCACAGAAAGAAGCTTTCTGCAGGTTGGGGCCAGAGGGGGATGTGGATGGAGGGGGGCTTGTGTGTGTGCGCGTGCGTGCCTTAAGGGATGTCCTGAGAAGCCCAGAACTTACCACAGACTGAGAAGTCCTCATTGTTAGCCAGCTTCATCCAAAAGACAGGAGGGACAGGGGATCTGGGGGCTCAGAGGGACACTGAGCTTGTGACAGGCTCCCTGTCCCACAGCTTTAAGGTCCAGAGTCCAATTCGAGGTCTATCTAAACATGTTTTCTTGTGATTTTCATGTGTGTGAGCTTCTCCTTATTTAGCCATTTGGCAAATGTACCGCCCCCTACCCTTGCCCTTTCTCCCCAGGCACTTGCTGTGGCCAGGCCCTATCTACATGGGACAGCGGGACACAGGGCAGTGTGGCAGCTCAGACCACACCCTGCCCCTGGGAGGCCTCGGGGAGAAGGGAGGAGAGGAGCTCAGGGACGACAGGACAAGGCCTCGCAGAATGCTGTAATGCAAAGATGGGCAGTTGGCCAGGTGTCCCAGGGGGAGTCTCCCTGTTATGGGGGTCCCAGGGCAGAGAGAAGAAAAGAGTTTCATAAAAGAGGTCACATTTGCACCAAGTCTTTAAAGAAGAACAATGTCTGGACACAGAGTTTGGGACGGAAGATGCATTCTTAGTAGAAAAAAATAGTGTAGGCAAAAGCCTGATGCCAGAAAAGTGTATAATCCAACGCACTCAGCCCTGTTGAAGGTGAGGACAGGTCCTAGGCCACATGGAGTTGATGGCTGTGGTGGAGAGTTTACGTTCCTCGGAATCATGCAGGAACAAAGCTGACTGTTGTAAGTAGCATTGCCACGTGTGCCAGTGGAGTTCTAAAGAACAAATTTCTGGAGATGCAGTTGCTGGGACAAACAATGCGTGCGTTTCACACTGCGGCAGATACTGCCGGTTGCCCTCCATGGAGCCCAATCAGTTCTTGAGCGAGCGACTCTCCTCATCAGGGTCTGTCTTCTGCCCCAGACGGTGAGGATGGGATGCTTGCAGCATTCAGACCCATGAGCACTTGGCTTCCCCTGGGAAGCACTTTGGAATGTGGTAGCTGTTTCTGTTCTTCCTCCAGGTCTCCAGGCAGCCTTTCTGATCTCCTGGCTTCCCTCTTTTCCGATTGTTTGACGCTAGAAGCTCTTGTCTCCGCCACCCTGCCCCCCCCTCCACCCCAGCTGGGGGCTCTGAAAAGCAAGGGCTTGTTCCCCTCTCACATCTGCTTAACCTCTGCAGCTGGCCAAAGAAGGTCTCAGCAAGGGTTCATCGTGCAGCTGTCAAATACAAGAAAGATGTATCTTGTCTGTCTGTCCTTCCTTTTCCATGAAGCTGAGCCAAATTGTCCCCAAATGACAGTAGGTCACCAAAACCCCACTCTGCAAGCTGGAATGCCTTATAATTTGCACAGATAAGGACAGACATACCTATATTACGGAAAAGAAAACAAATTCAGAGAGGGTGGTGGCGTACCCCACTCACAGAGTATGGGAGAGATGAAGCAGGGGTTAAAAGCAATGGGCCTTGGCTCCATCCTGGCTCGACCAGAATATCAGTATCTACGGCCAGCACTTGGCTCTGTTTGGCTGGAGGTGGTCTGCGGTCCCTGAGGTGTCTGGGCTCAGGGAGCCAGAGGCGCATAGGGCTCCAACCACACTTATGTGTCTGTGTTACATCCTCCCCAGGCTCCCGTCCATGGAGAGACCCCTCACAGTCCTGCGGGTGAGCCTGCACCACCCCACGAAGGCCCCAGCCATCTTCGCCACCGTCCCATCTTGGCTGCAGCATGACACAAGCCCACTGCTGGTGGGGCGGAGTCTGGACTCCCACCCCCAGCTGCAGCTCCCCCGCCTCTCCCGCCAACACCTGTCCCTGGAGCCCTACCGAGAGAAGGGCAGTGCTCTGCTGGCCTTCAGCCTCAAGGCTCTGAGTCGCAGGGGCTGCGTGTGGGTCAACGGGCTGACACTAAGATTCCTGGAACAGGTTCCCTTGAGCACCGTCAACTGGGTTGCCTTCTCGGGTGTCCAGATGGTGATCCACGTGGAGCTAGGCACCTCCCTGGAAGCCTTTGCCTGCTGCTTCTTTGTTAGCCCCTCACCTCTGATTTACAGGCCCCAGGCCAAGGAGTCTGACGAATGGGAAGACATCCCCCAGGCGCTGCCTGCCCCAGGTTCAGAGAAGCAGGCTCCGGGTTACCTGGGCTCTCTCCACCGCCCTTCCCAGACTGGGGACAGCCCTCCCCAGCCAAGCACTGGAGGAGGAACAGAAATACAGCTCCAGAGGGAGCCTGCAGACAGCTAGCTCTGCTAGCCCCACCGCCGCCTGGGATGAAACAGGACTTGATATATTCGAGCAACATCATGCAATGTTGACAAGTGAGGCCTGCCTGGCTAATAACAAGCCAATTCTGCAAACATGAACAGCTTGGGGGAGGGGGGAGCGCCCTCCACGTTTCCAGCTCTGCAAGGTAAAGGGGAACTTCATATACTTTTAGAGGGCCTGAGGGGCTCCGAGGGCCCCTCTCAGCATTTCCCCACATTTCCTCGTCTAGTCTGAATAGGAGTTACTTTATGTTGCTAATTTTGTGTGCTGCTTAAGAGTGGGCGTTTGAGGTTGCACCAGGAATGCATGGACACATGTAACAATTACATTTGTGGTAGCTGGAAGTTACCTTCAGCTTTCAAATACCCACAGGCACTTGGGGCTTAGGGAAGCCTGTGTTTAATAAACTGAAGTATTTCATTAAGCTGGCATACCCAGTAGGATTCTCTGATCCCCATATGGGCTGCATGCATGCCACATTGTCACGGAGGGGCTGGGGTGGGAAATATAGAAGAGGCGTGAGAGGAAATTGGAAAGGTGGGGGCTCACATTTCTAGAAAGGATGCGAGCAGAGCTCAGAGCTCCCTGGGTATGGGGAGCTGCGTGCTGGGCCTGTCTGGAAATTCATTGTCACCGTCGCCCTCCTCATCCTCACGCTCTGCCACTCTCTGTCATTTCTGAATCAAAGTTTTAGCTGACCAGAGGGCTAATTCTATGGGTGGCTTCCCATAGAATTAGGTTCTTTCAGGACTAATTCTATAAGAGGGTGTCTTGGGAGGTGGTGTTAGAATTCAGCCCAGCAGCTATTTCACTCAAGGTGGGTCATATACCAATAGAGTGCAGTGGTCTTTCCACATAAGGGGCTAGTAGGGGGGCCAGGCAGGCCAAGGGTGGGATAGTTCTCTCAGTGCACAGAGTTGCAGAGAAGAAGCGGCCACTCTCCATGCCATCCTGGGGTAGTGGGGCTTGGAAGTGTGGTTTAGAGACAATGTTCACCTGTGTAGTGAAGGGAGGGACCTACAAACCCAGGTGGTCGCCATCATCCTAGGCCCTGCTCTAAGATATGCGAGACACTGAGGCCATGGTGCCATCCACTGGCTGGCTCGCATCCCGAGGTCTGTAACTACCTCCAAACAGGCTTTCAACACGGTCTACTTCCTACCCAAGAAGAAAAGCCCTTTTGCGTCCAGGGCATGCCACAGGCGGTTCAAGTGCACTGCCAGGCCCTGAGCCTCTTCTCCATGGAGAAGAGAGCAGTAGGCAGGACCCAGGCCTGCCATGGCTTGAGAAGCTTCCCATTCAGTAGGGAATGAGGCAAGTACACTCAGACCACAGCCAGGGCTGCAAGGAGGGATGCTGGCCAATGTTGTGAATAGCTTCTAGGGCCCCCAAATAAGTCCTTCACATAGTCATTCAACAAACTTTTGTGCAGAACCCACCTTGCACCAGATGCCATGCAAAGTCCCAAGAACCCACAATGAACAAGGCTGACAAAGTCCCTGCCCTTGGGGAACTTAAAGGAACTCAGGAAAGACATAAATTCAAGAGCTAATCACTAAATTATTTGGTCAGCACTGTGATCGGTGCTATGGACATTGTGTTTTCTCTCTCTTCAAGCTGAGGCTAACATGAGCTCTCCTGTTAAGTGGCTGTGTCTGATGAGTGCTCTGCGCTGTTAGGCGCTGTGTGTGTTGTCCCGTTGGATCCTCACAACGCCCACGTAGACAATGGCATTGAACACATTGAACAGATGAGGAAACTGAGACTCAGAAAGAGTAAATATCTTGCCAAACATCATGCCACTCACCAGCTGTGTGATCTTGAGCAAGCGACTTAGCCGGCTTTTGTGTCCAGATCTGCTTCTGTAAATGGGTAAGATAATAGTACCTATCTGCTGGAGCTCTCATGAGGGTCTTAGGAAATGTGCACATATGAAGTGCTCAGTGCACTCAGTAAGAGTTACCTACTATCATGAGACCCAAGAAAGGGAACCTAGTAGGTTCAGACCCAAGGGCTCACCTTGGATGTGGCTATGGAGCTAGAAAAGGTTGGAAGACCGACAAACTGGCTGCAGGGCCCAAGGGCTTACCCACGCTCTGTGATTACCTAATGATGGATTTTGTCTTAGCATGGACCTGGTGAGTAGTAAGGAGGGGGTTTTTGTTCCTTGCGCCAGAAGGCCCACTATTCAGGGTCTATAGAATGGAAGACACACTTTCAGGGCTGGCAAGCAGAAGAAACCATGTGTAGTGTGATCTGATGATGCCCAGTGTTTGGAACTTTCTTCATGTTTTACACACAGATACTAAATGAAACAATGATCTTCACAGACCAAAGTGTTCCCCAAACTATGCCTTCAGGAGCAGCAGCCTACATACAGAACCGAGAAGCCACGGATGGGAGATTACAGCTGAACATCAAAGGTTGAGATGAGGAAGCCATGGCTTGCATTATCAGGTTGGCTGGTGGCATCCCAGAGTCTCCAGGGCACAGGTCCCCTTTCCACTGGGGAATGTTCGCCTCGAACAAGGGTTCTTCCCCTCCAGGAAGGAGCATACCCGGCCCAACTGGGGGTCCACAAAAGGGAGCAGTCTGCCTCCTCCAGAGGGTGCCTGAGACTTGGAATGAAGGATCTGCGAGGCCCTCCAGGACTCAGGATGAACTGCACAGCAGGCTGACAGATGACAGGCCAGCGATAAGGACAGGAGAGAGCCAAGACACATCCAGCCTGTTGTGTCGGACTCTGTCAGTTAACAGAAATCTCAGGGAAGCTCACTGCTTGTCTTGCACCAAGTTTCATGATAGCAAAGCTCCCTGCATGCTCAACCCCATTTTTCTTTTTCTTTTTTTTTAAGAATAGTTTTATTATTTTTTAAATTTAGGTGCAGTTGGTATGCACTATTATACTAGTTTCAAGGGTATAATGTAGTGACTCGACATTTATCTACCCTACAATGTGATCACCACACTGTCTAGTGTCACCGTGCAAACTTATCACAATATTATTGACTATATTCTCCCTCATCTTTTTGACCCATGAGATTCTGTTTTTCTTCAGAAGAAAGCCATTTAAATCATCAGATCTCTGATACCCACCTCACTTCCTCCTAGCAGCTGGAATTATCAGGTTGGCTTCAGGGCCCTGGTCTACGCACCTAATACCACCTTCTTTTGCCTGCTGAGACAGCCTGAGCAGGTCAGCGAGTTCCTCCCAAAAATGTCCTCTGCATTCTCTCGGCTCCCACACACAGAGCAGCCCAACTGTCTGAGTGACACGCACACACCACAGTGGTGGCAAACTGTGGCTCTGCAGTCACACTGCTGCCCGGGTTAGAAGTCTTGTTCCATCACTTACTAGTTCTGTGATTTTAGACAAGTGACTGAGGCTCCCTGTGCCTCAGTTTCTTCTGAAACATGGAACATAAAACAGCACTGTGAAGATAAAATGAGGCACCACATGTAGAGCACCCAGTAAGTGCTCAATCTGATTAGCTGCCATCATCCAACTTAGTGGATGAATTGAAGGCACTTGGATTCAGCACACACACACACATGCACACGCACATGCGCACACACACACACACACACACAGAGCCACATCAATTACATTCAGGCACACCCCAGAGTACTACAATTCTCTGAACCGACATCTGGAAATTTAGAAACCATCCCCCGTGCCCTATGAGGCATTTAAACCCTCACATTCCTCTGCTTTTCCAAGAATGGGAGTCTTCCCAACATGTCTGGAAGGGAGACACCACATCCCCTCCAGCCCATGTCAAGGGGACATAACAGGCATGAAGAAGCACCATGAGGATGTGATGGTAGATGCATCAGATAGTGGCATCCTAGAACAGGGAAGGCCGTGGCTGAGCACGGGCAGTTCCGCACGGACTCTGGAACACTGTAACCACAGTTTTCATGTCTGTCTCTGGAGAGACCTCAAGCTCCATGCAGACAGGACCACAGATTGTTCCCAGTGGCCATCACAGAGGACAAATAGACAGGTGGTTAGAGAAGCAGTCACCTTGGCTGCACTAAGAGACAGATGAGGGCAGGGCAAAGGGCTGCAGTGGTAGGACAAGAAGCAGGCCAGCCAGCTGGGCAAAAAGGCCATGGAGCAATGGGCAGATGAACATCTTGTGGGTGGAGGTGAACATCTCTCACCTGCACTGGGCCTTGGTAGGGGCAGCCCAGACCCTCTGGCTGGGGCTGAATAAGGTGAGTACTTCTGCCTAGTTCTTGAGCCTCCGTAGCCCCAACTCCATCAGAACTTTGAGTGTTTAGAATTCTGTGTGATAACTGCTAAGGAAGGTTGAAAGATTTGACAGGACCCCATGTCACTAAGGGATAGCTCTCAGCCAGCACTTCCTGCCCCAAACAGAGGCGCATAGGGTACGGGTACTCCCTCCCGCCCCCTCCAGGAAACCATGGGAAAGGCTCCAAGCAGTAGCAGTCATCCTGGCTGGATTGAACCTTGGCCTGCAGCCCACCAAGTCTCCACGGGATCTGGTGTGATCCCTCTCCCCGACCCCTTACCTCCGCCCCAGTGAAATGGAGGCCAGCCCATGCGGACCCTCCCCACAGACATATATCAGGAACATCTGCCCTATAACAACACCCCACCCACCCCATCTCTTTAAGAGATTCCCTGTGGCTGTAGGAAGCTAAGATGTCACCCTGCTGGAGGCATCTACATTTTCAAAGAAAAGATTGGAGAGGGCAACACTGGCCCAGAAAGAGAGAGTTTCCTTGCAGAAAGAGTAGCGCTGACGGTTTTGCAGTAGGCCCATAAAAGAAACACTTCCCCTTCCCCTCAAATGCATGGTCGTTTTATACATGTGTAAAGCAAGATATACAGTCAAGAGGCTGGCTCAAGGTCCGCCTGTGGCTGACTAAGCAGTAGAGCTGAAATAGGAACTGAGAACCAAGTATTTCCACAACAGCCCTCTGAGTGGCCAGGCTGCCATCAGCAAAGA